AAACAAAATCACCTTTCAAAAGTAGGTCAGGTGTTTTTTTTTTGTGAAATACGGTCAAAAAGTCAAACTTATGTGTTGGCTAAGAAAAATATTAAGAAGTCGTCCCAAGAAGATTGGCGACCTCAATCAATCTCATTTCATGTAGATCAACTCGCAAAAGAATTGGAAGACCATTTCGTTTGCTAGTCTAACCTTTCAAAGCTTGTCAATCGTGATAGTTAAGAGTAGAGGTAGTATGCACCCACACTTTAAATCGTAACTTTTTTTCCGTACAGATCGACAATTGTACTATCTCGTCAGCAGACAAGTGTACTCACCAGAAAAGGCGTTAAAGTCTGTTTTATTTTTACGATGCTTTGCTCTCAAAACATGTTGAGCACTTTGCGAGACCAACATTGACAAAATGTGGGTTGGTGCAAACAAATTTTTAGTCCTTTGTAAGTAAGATCAAATCATAATATGTAAAGAAAAGTAGTATGATTTGATCTTACTTAATCACTAGTGACATATTGACACCATTTAATCTAACTATACTATATCCTGTTTGACTCTCTTAATGTTTCGAAGCAGTGACAGTATGTTGGTACGTGTAAGCTTTGCGAAAAGTGTATTGTGTACGTACACGTTTAGCTCAAGTGCGGCTGCCATAAGTCTTTTTGGGATACATGATGATCACAAATACTAGGCGTGGATTTCGACTAATAAAACCATGAATTTTCAAATATCTTGCACAGCAGACGACATTTGTGCGGTCATTGATAAACGTACAAACCTCATTATGTTTATTGCGGACAACGAAGTCTCATCAACGCTCTTGATACCATCAAACATGTTCCATGTCTTGTCTTATCTTGACCCAACATCCAGTTCCAAATTCTCATTTGCATTTCAGACTGACACAAACATCCTGTGGCTTTACTGACTCCAATATTTCCTTTACAGGGTCTCGAAAATGCCCCACAGCTCACTTAAATTCATTGTTTAAGCCACTTCAGAATAAAAACCTCGAGCGTGTGTGGAATAAACACCGCACAAAAAATACTTGACTGATTCTTTGAAGTCTAAGCCAATGAAAATATTTGATGTTCCAGCGTGTGCTGAAGCGTCTGCAGCAAAAGAATCATCATTGATTTTGTCAGGCAGATTCATGTTGATACGATACAGCATTGTGTTGAATAAAACTTATCTCAAGCTATATAACAGGATCAAGTTCAAATCGTTGACAGCCTTATCGTTAAGCGAACTATATGTCGACATGTCAGAAGTAAGCTCACAGCAAATGTCTTTCTAGTCATCAGCAAACTCATTTCTTGTCATCATGCCACATATTAACATTTTGATTTCGAGCAATGTTTTGGGTGGGTGGCACGTCCTACTCTCAAGCCCATTGAATACAAAGATCGTTAAAACCAACCAGTTTTTGGCCAGCTTGACACCGATGAACCCACATATAATCATGCGCATACGCTTGTTGCCTTACTTACATAACGCAAAGCTTTTTCTGGCTGAAATCCTCTTAAAAGAGTGAACAGAGATATTTCATTGATGGCCAAAGCGTAAAAAAAAGTTTCTAGTCCATCAGGATATTCTATAATCAAGATAAACTCAATAAATTAATTCTTAAACTTGCAAGTTATTCACTCATGAAGACAACAAACGATGATATCTTGATACGTGCTCATTACTGTGCGTAGTTCACCACGCGAAAGATTTTCGCGCCACATAATTTCTTCAATATGATGTTCGCCATGAAAATAAACGCAAAGTCTTTTAAAAAGTGTAAAGACTGGATTGGGTTTCGCAATTTTCGCCAAATACGCACGCTCCTGGTCTGTAAATAATAAGTGACTTGTCATGCTCACAACTTGTGCCATCGGTAAGCCAGTACTATCATATGCATCCGAAGTATTTCGTGGCGATTCTGACAGATGAGCTGGTGCCGCAATCACTGGATTCAACGGCGGAGTTCGTGCCATAGCTACATCACCTGGAACACTTGGGTTGGTCATAATAATATTTCCTTGCTGTCGTCGAAGGCTTGAAGACACAGCAGGAGAGCTGCCGAATGATGAAGGTGCATCGTTATTGTCTTTGGTAGTATAATCTTCATCGGATGGTATCATGAAGTACACATAGCGATGAAGTTGAACAATAAAACGTTGCTGAAGAAGCCAAATCAGCATGTGAATATACTCCGTCTTTTTTGCTGTCGACAACGATTTCATATGTTCTCCAATACGTCGTGAACCTGAAAAGGTTGACAGAACTTCACCAAGCTCGTAAGGTGCAAATTTTCGACGAAATTCCTGTGCCAGAGGTGATGCAATGTGCAAATCTGCTTTAGCATGAACTTGATATATGTTGTATAAAGTCAAAGCGTCTACGATTCGTCCATATCCCCAATAAACGAGATGAGCTGCTAATCGAAAGATCTGATGAATAGGCATATCAGTATCATGAGCAATATCTTGAAAGCTTTTCAAAGGATTCACAGTTTCCACTAGTAATCGCAATTGTCGCGCATGATCAATCGGAAGTTTGGAAAGAATACTATTCTTGTCGGTCAGCAATAACAGTGTGTGATATGGTCGTAAACTTTCCAATTGTACTGTTACAGCATCTGTTAAAGTAAGTGATAATTTCACCCATCCATTAAGCACAACATGAGCAGCTCCAGTTTCTTTTAATCCATGAAAAATCTTCTTTAATTCATTTGCGAGTACACTCTTTCCTAACGACACGTCAATTAATGTTTGTGGATCCACTTCAACTGTTGATGTTCCATTTTCTCCATCTTTTCTGTGGTGATGATGATGTGATCCACTTGTCGTAGTGTTATTGTTTGAAATATTACTTCCATTCGTCGTATTTGCTGCAGCTACACAAGAAGTATTCCCATTACTCGTTCCTGGAATACCATTGTTAGTACTGCCTGTATTACGTTCACTTTGTGCCAATTCATCTCGTAATTGCAGCAACTCACGCACTTCTTTTGACACATAACCTACTCGAATTTCTTCGTGCAAAAGTCCATTAGCCAGCTGAGCTGCTACTGTTTGAAATGCTTGAGCGCTGCTTTGTCTTCTGGCCTGAAATTCCTCTTCATCAGTCTGTTGCAAAGGAAGCAGCTGCGTATTCATAAATCCATTTGAAACTTTGACTTTTGACATTTGTGGTGGAGGATCTTCGAGTGCAAAGATAATATTAAACATTGTCGTCTCGTTTCCTGTTGTACCATCATCGCTATTGGATGACTGCTCTAAACCTGTAGAAGGTGCTAATGCTGACGATGCAGAGCTATTTATCTGTGTGATACCAATTCCCGAACTATCCACAGACGTTGCAGCTAAAATTCGCCGCGAAACAAGCACTGGATGACTTACAAAACGTAGATCGTCGACCACGAGCTCGAAACTGGCGTTGCAAAGTGCATTCTTTGGACGAAACAATTTGGCTAATAATGGCGCAGGAAGCGTTTGAAAACTTGATGTATTGTCACTTGATGATGAAGGATATCGAAAGGCTAGATTACAACCTTTGCTGATGTCGTCGACTACAAGAGCGATGCCTAAGAGTCGGTAGCCGTCCCTGGCGTTCATCTTAAACTATTATGAAGTTTTATTATATTAACAAGTCACTTGATTAGTCCATTCCGAAAAGAGTACAAAATACAATATCCGTGACAGTATGACCTAGTAGAGCCGTTGTCCATCCAGTCGTAATTGTGGACGGCGCTGTGGTCATAACGTAGTGGCGAATGAGTGAACATTACGGCAGCCATACTACATTAGCTGTGGTGGTCGCAAGCTCTTATCCAACACCATGAAAGATCTACTTTACGATGACAAGAAAAAGTGATTAAGACGTGGATCGCTGTCATTTGTGCATATCTCCACAAGACAACGTCCTGCCTAAGAAATTGCCTTCGTCACAGCATTGAGTTTAAAATTGCATGGCTCGCTACGGCATCCCACAATGTTGTTGCGTTAATTTGACCATTCCGTCCGACAAAAGCGGTCGACATCAAGATATGGTGATCCCTGAATGTGCTATAAATCCGAATGCCCGAAGCTGATCAAGGCAATCTATAGTGTCAAATCCGGTTTGCATGAGTGGAGTTAGATTATCGACGAGTACATGTTTTTATCCGAAGTATAAACTTTATCTCTACGTCAAGATTATGGACCCTCACTGCGTGACGAGAGTAGCATGTTTGCGTCACACCGAATTCATGTACAGTATCGATGGTAATGTCAAGATATGTTTATGACGCTTTGTAGGCTACACATAAGCGCTTTGGCTCAAGATAATCCGAGGCTGTAGTGATTTCGGCGGATCTAGGCTCTCGACTTGCTCCATGCAGCGGGCCAACCAAGGCGTACAATTGCACTCACAGGCTTGAAGACCGCGACACGATCAACCATCACTATCACTATAGGCTACTTATCACGAAAGTGGTTTATCTTTAATTCGAGCAATGGACCACGGCAAAGCGTAACGCTCACTATTTGTGATGGGCCAAGTCGCACGGCATCTGTTTCAAGCCCAATACATTCGTAGCTTCTTTGGCGCAAACTTGGTGGTGACCACTTCGACCGCAAGCCAACTCCAGGCTCTACGTTTCTATTGCCCGATCCAGCGTTATTACTCTAAACCCAGAGATATACAAGTCGAATGATAAGACGAGTGTGGATTGGATGGCTTCAATGACAGCATGTGAAATATGTAGTGATGGCAGTATGTGCTGCGATAAATTCATCACTTCAACATTTCATTTCTGTCTACAAAAACTGGTTACAGAAGACGCTGAGATTTTAAGAATACGCCACCCGAAGCAGAATCCAGTGAGGAAATATTTATATATTCTAGCATTAGTGTTTAAGATGTAGAGAACCAGTACACTATGGCATCACTTCATGTATGGATAAGATTATGGATATGACGAAATAAACCAAATATGTCAACGAATTTCATAAAGAGGTTACAGATTTTACCGAATATTTTGCGTAAAACTTACGATATTCCAGTGTAAATCTTCTGATTGTGGTTCAAGTTTACATACATTTCATACCCACTTCAAATCAAGGAGTTTCGACTCTATTATCGTCCCACTACTAAACTACTCCGCATTTTCCATCTCGCCCCCTTGCAGTATGAGTCGCCCTGGAGGCCCCAACGCACCCGATGACCAGGCAAAGCTGAAGAAACAACTCATTGATCTTACAAAACTTGAAGAAAACAAATTTTGTGCTGATTGTGGCTGTCGAGGACCTCGTTGGGCATCAATTAATCTTGGCGTCTTCATTTGTATTGCATGCTCTGGTATTCATCGTAGCCTGGGCGTACATTTGACGTTTGTACGCAGCGTCAATTTAGATTCGTGGACTTTAGAGCAGGTACAACAGATGCAACGCTGGGGCAATGCACGTGCGAAAGCTTATTACGAGGCGAATGTACCGAGAGATTATCGTATCCCAACGGAACATTCATCTGTACGTGACAAAGAAATTTGGATTAGAGACAAATATGAGCGTAAGAGCTTCATTGGAGACGGTTCACGAGACGTGGCAGACCGTGGATCTCGTAGGAAGAAACATGGAAGCTCAGATGAGGAGGAACCACGTCGACGTAAGGACAAAGAGCGATCTAGTTCACGTCATAATTCGCGTACTGCTCCGAAAGAAACTTCAGTGTCACAACCTGCAGTGACGCAGGACATTCTGACATTTGATGTGTTCAGTGCTCCCGCTCCAACTCCTGCTCCTGTTCCTGCCCCTGTATCTGCACCTGCAATTGCACCAGCGCCCAAGCCAGTGGATGTTCCTGCAGTTGTAGCTGTAGCTGCTTCGAAGCAGGACGAATGGACGTCATTTGGAGGTTCAAGTAATGTTTCGAATGGATTTCAAGACGCTTTTGCTCCACAACCTCCAGTTCCAGTCGACCAACATGTAAATAAAATGGCAAACATCATGGCAACCTTTGGAACCTCATCGCAACCTCAACAGCCACAGAATGCTTTTCAATCTCAACCGCAACTAAATGCATTTCCTCCTCAGCAAGGAATGACACCAGCCCCAATGATGGGTATGCAAATGAATGGAATGAATGGGTTAAATGGAATGAATGGAATGAATGGGATTAATGGAATGAACAGGATGGGCATGATGGCCCCACGACCCATGGGAATGAACATGCCCATGAGTATGCCCATGAGCGGACCAGGCTTTATAAACCCGATGATGCAGCCAAACATGATGGGATATCCAATGCAAAATACAATGTTCACCCCACCTCAGAATGGCATGATGATGGGTACGTATTGAAAAGCTGGGTTGGCAGATATTTAGTGGCACTTACACGATTATGCGTTGTCATAGGTGGTCCGCCAATGGGTTTTCAGGGTCAACCGATGGGAATGAACCCAATGGCTTTGCATATGAATCAGGTAGGCTTTCAGCAACAACTGCAACATCAGCAGCAGCAACAACATCAACAACATCAGCAGCAACATCAACAACAACAACAACAACAGCAACAGCAACAACAGCAACAACACCAGCAGCTTCAGCACGCAGGAGGACTTGGCCAGCCATTTGTAAACTTCGGTTAGGAATGACGATATGAATGAGTGTAAATCTTCCATCTATCAGTAGATATTTGAAGTTAATCTAGGAATCTCTACTTACTTTCTACTTCAAAACACGTTTACTTATGTATTCTATAGTCTTAAGGGATTCAAATACTTGGCTTCCATGACGAGTTGTATCATTTTCTTGCTTTCTACGACACTTTCATCACCTTCTAGAGTCAGCAAATCAAACAGCTCGTAACGTTCTCCTGTCGTAAAGTCCAATCCATTTGCTGATAAACATTGTTCAAAACCGTCTAGATCAAGAACTCCTACCATTTCAGCAATCGTTTTCGAGACCTCTTGCATCTGAATATCAAAAATTTGTTGCCATGCTGTCATCGTCATGTGAAGAAAAAGTTCCAACTCGATTGATTTGTCACTCAAATTGTGCCGAAACAACTTTTCTCGAAACGAGGTAAATTCACCAGTACGCTGCATAGATCGAGGAAAAGTTTGTTTGCAGGTCTCAAGAGCTAGAAATGTTGGAATTGTTCGAGATTTCATAGGCTCACCGTCTCCAATATACCCATTCCACATTGTAATTAAAGTCCCGTACGCAAGTGGCTGAGAGGTTCCAGAAACCGAGAGACTTGCAATTGAATTCGATCGAGATTTCTTCTTTAATGCGATCAAGTTTATCAAACATTTTAAAAACTTTTGATAGAAAAAGAAAGCATAGTTCTTGGACTGTGTGCGTGTCGTATCCGATCCAAAGAACCAGCTAAAGAGCGTGCAACGAACGTGACTGTCTTTAGTGGAATAATGCAGTAGCGACCGCTCAAGTTGCATCGTATGCATAACCGCAATAGATTTAATGCCGTATTTGCGTGTTAAGAAATCCTTAGCAAGAGCTTTAAAGGACATTGGGCCAGCGCCTTGCTTTAAAAACCCAAAGCGTTCATCAAACAAAGACGTTGCATTTGATGCGTTCACAAGTTCACTTGCATCTCGTGAAAATTGAAGATGAAGAATTGCAGACAATAGATGGCACACTTCAGCTAATGGAAAAACATGAAAAGCATCACTCGATCTGCGCGTCAAGTCAGCTCGCGGGTTGAAACTAATGGCATTTTTTCGTCGTCCTAATGACGCAGACATTGGACGCATTAATGTCGATTTTCGTCGAGGTCTGTACTTCTTTATGTCTTCATCGTTGAAAATATCAGTATCGACTGAAGCTTCGAATGAAAACTCGTCTTCTTTACTTTCTCCATCATCTAATAAAATGTGACGACCGCATGTGCACTCGCACTCTATTTCCTGTCCTTCGTCCTGCTGTTCTTTCTTCGGGCGTTTTGTCGGATTTTCAAATTTGGACAATCGTTCTAAGACTGAGTCTGACAAAAGTGGTCTATGGATTGATTTAAACGACGATACCTCAGTAGCGACATCTTCAACCAGTTCCATTAACTCGTGCACTCTCTTCCCAATACGATCCTCTTCGGATTGAGCCACATCCCCATTAACGGACGAGCTTGACTCTACTTCAATACTTGTTTCTGAATCTACTTGAGTTTGCAGTAAATTGCTTAAATTTTCCACAAAACTTTGATGACATGTATCATCATTCAAATCATCTCGCTCTTGTATGGCATCATGAAGCTCACTCGTTGTGACATAATCAAAGCACTCACGTAAGAACTTTCGTCGATGTTGCTCCTCCATCTCTCCTATCGTCACGGCTAATGTTTCAGGAAGCATAGTCAGGTCACGATCCACTGCTTTCTCAAGAAGTATTGACAGTACGTGTTGCGCATCTACATCCGAAATCCTCGAAAATGCTTTCACAATTTCATCCGTTTGGGATTTCAAGCTCAGATTTTCTAATGGAAAAACTGAAGAAGTAGAGTATTCGTCACAATTATCACATTGAGAGGATGCATGAGCAGTAGCGGGTGTTGCAGCTACATTCAATTTATCTCTCAAGACTTCTTGAAGTCTCTCCTGAAGCTTGTCCACCTCGTTTTGTAAACATATCACAGAGTTTTGTAGACAATCACACTGCATTTTTTGACGCATCATGTCTTGAAACCAAGGTTTGCCGCGCTGGTAAAAGAGAGAGGATCGATGGGTTTCAAGATTCTCAAAGTGCTGAAAATCCAGAAAGTTTGAGTACATTGCAGTTCCTACTTCATCAATCATTTGCAATAATGAAGGGTGTTCTTTGGCAAAGACTGTGCCCATTTGAGCAAGGCCGGTAAACGCTACAGCCGAAACGAAAGCATTCGGACGAGGCATCGTACGTGTCAATGCTACGGCCTGCTTAAACATTGCCTCGCAAAAGAGCGCAGTGGAGCGAAAAGTAAGTTGATCTTCGTCCCACATTTCCAAAAGTGCGTGAAGTTTCACTTGCATCGCCGTTGAATCGACTTCATGCAGAATTTGAATCTCAGACTTTTCAGGAGAAGGCGAGATACAACCTTCATGAGAGTTAAGAAAAGAGTTTTGCAACGGAAATGCAATCGATTCGACTTGCATGTATCGTGCACGGCTTGCACTAATTGGACGTTGTCGTCGTGCAGAGCTTGGACGCAATGACGGCTGAGTCAGTCGACTACTTGTCGTTGAAGCTACTTGTGAAGCTGAATAAGGGCGTTCTTGTCGCGAAATTAGTTTTGGTCGGTCACATTGTTCGCTATTTCCAGCACGAACTCGAACTGGAGCAGCATAAGGCGAATCAATTGTTAACCATGTAGCACGCGCAACTTTGTTTACATTTGAACGTGGTGGACGTCGCGAACTTGCTGTCTTTTGAGCCATTTGTCAAGAAATGGAGAATAAACTGAAGTGGACTTTGCTAACTTTATAAATAATGCACCATTCAATTCAGAGTGAAACCGTGAATGATGTCTAAGATGCTGCGGCGTTACTGTAGAACGAAGCAGGTTTGGACATCGTAGAAATGACAACGAATTCGAAAGTAACACAAGAATAGAGAGCAATCCATGAACTAAACTTAGTAAAGAGGAACTTGAAAACTAAACGAGTTTATGAATTAATTTTTGTTTCAAGAAATCCGAGCCAAATAACGCTAGTGGGTCATTTGTCAGCTTTGTGAATTTATCAATCGAGATTTATAAATATTAGAACGATATAAAGGTGATAGTGGATGAAAAAGGAAATTAATAAAAGTGACAGCTGAAACGTTAGAGTTGGGCTAAACTGGAGCAGAACATCATCAGCTGTTCTCACTCAGTTGGACTCAGTAAACATTTTCGTGAGCATTTTCAAGCGCTGTTTGAATGCTATGATGAATGCCAGTATATGGACAGGTACTATTGGCTAAAGTGATAAGAATTGAGAAAGTGGTGACAGCGAATGTTTTTTTATTTGAAAGAATTACTTAAAAGCTGGATAGGATTAGCGTTGTTCATCAACATGCTTACTGCTGATTTGCGTAAGTAGTACTTCGATGTGATATTGTGTCATCTTGGACGAGGTCGATTGTATCGTGATCAACAAACGAGACCATCACTGCTCTTTTAAGTGGCGAGCGTAAGCGCGTGAGCAAGCAACACAAGACTTGAAACTTTGTTAAAAGCACTGATCACTCTCGCTTTATTCTCAGGCTGCTTGCTTGGTTTCACAAAGTCTTGGGCTGCTTGCTTGGTTTCACAAAGTCTTGGGCTACTTACTTGGTTATGTTAAGTTTAGACATTACAAAAGGCTATTTATCTGCCCTCTGTACCCAGCTTGGAGAATTGTTCATAAGACAATGAGATATGGGCTCAAAACAAGAATATATTCATTCTAATTATATGGAGTTGTGCAGTCGAAATGATTTTTCGAAGAATGCTAGAGTTAACACTGATTTCTGGTCTAATTAACAAATTCCCCCATATCTGCTTCCATTCTTTACTTTTAAAGCAATTGATATGTTCCAGTAAAGACCGCCATGGTTGAATTTAACAACGTGAACTTATATTTCCATCATTCGGTTGGCAAAGCTCACACCCTCTCGCAAAACTGGCAGCATTTTCTTACCCGACAGTCAAGCACGTTGGATCGAGCGTCTTGGCTGTTAAAATGCCTACTAAAACTATGACAACCGTTTGTCTGTTTTGGGAAAGGGATAAAGAATGAGAAACTTGCATGTCCATGCAGTAGGAAACGTAGTGATGTAAATCAGAGTTAGATTCGCCATCGACAGTCAAGACTAGTAACAGAATCGGAAGACATAAATTATGGGCAAAGGAAGCGGTGGTGGCGCCAAAGGCGGAGGTTCGCGTGGAAGCTCCGGAGGAAAAGGGGGTGACAGTTCGGAAAGAGCGGCAGCCAATAATCATTCAAACCAAATGAACCCGAACAACTCGGCCTATCAATCTTCTCGTGCACATGGGTGAATTTTGGATTAAAGTGGATTCGAGTCGTCAAGATGGGGAGCGTTTAATGTGGTTGATAGTGGTTAAATTACGAGCAAGATTAGGGTGGTGACATCGTTTAAAGACGTGTTTAAAAAAGCGAATGTAAGAAATTCTGCCATCGCATCGATTCAATCATTTTGTTAAGAAAGAAGGTTCTGTAGGTGCTCGCAAATGATAATTTTATTTGTATAATTCATCTATGTGCATATAACAACTAAACTGTAACCCTCAATTGACTCAAGATACAAAAATGACGGTAGTTTGAATTTCCGGTGAATCAAAGATACACTTCAAACCAAGGAGCCCCGCCAGAACTTGTTCAATTAGCATCAGGTTTTGCATGCGCACAATTGATCCTCTTCGTTTAATGTCAACCTGTGTTGCTAACACGCTCAGGACTTTGGGCTTTAAAATAACGATATTCAGTGATTAAACCAGCTCAATAACCCACTTAAAAAATCAGAGCAATTTATGATCTTCAAAGAGGTGGCGTCAGTATAATCTTCTCACCTTTGGAGATGTAGCGAAATGGATATGAGGAATAAACGATTAAACAGTAATATTTGAGCATTAAAAAAATTGAACAATAAATCAAGTGTCAAGTTTCGCTTCGACAGTCACATGGTGTGCTACTAGAGCTACCAGCGCTCGCTTTTACTTAGTCATCCTCATCTGATCGGCGCGAATATTCTTGCTCAGATTGATAGCGACGCCCAGAGTGGTCGCTTGAGCCACCACTATAAGTGTCATTGTCAGACCCGCCCATGTTTGAGTAGCCAGCTTTATTTTCATAATTAGAGTCACCAGTATAGCCCGATCCGCTTCGTTCACCGCCCAGACCCGGACTTCCGCTTGTTCCTCTTGAGTAGCCTCTACTCCCGCTATCACGAGATGATGCAACTGGTTCGTGTAGGTGGCGGTTCTCTCGATCATCACGTGAGTAGCTCGTGGTGCCGATGTCAGGTTCACCACGAGCTTCTGATGAGCGGTATGCCGTACCGCTTTTTGGACTGAAGCTCGAGTCGTCGTCACTTTTCGACTGTTTCCCTTTATCTTTGGGTTTTCCGATCATCTCACGTACAGCTTCCATGGTTACAACTTGAGCTAGAATCAATTGTGAGTATGAGGACACCGCAGGTCGCAACATTTTCCTCAGTTAAAATGACAGCCAACGTCATAGCTTAGCGTCCCAGTCCAGGGCTGGAATATTTATGGGACGAATGTGGTGATACCGAATTACGTTATTAAAATACGTGACAAGTTTGGGCCATTTACTATACATATGCCAAGAAATATAGACACTGAGCATACTTTGTGGTCCGTCCGTTGTCTACTTTGGAACATCCAACTACAAGAAGCTGCTTGATGCAATTCATAGCCTATCAGGTCTAGCTACTCAGACTTGCTCTTATCTGCTGTGGTCCTTGTGTTTGGTAAACGCATGTGGTCACAGCCAGTCATAACACTTTAACATTTATTTGATTACAGAATTTACTAGAACTTCTTGGATAGTAACTGTTTGGCATTCCCAATGAGATCTTCCATCTGATTGTCCTTCTTGTCTTTCTTGGTCGCTGCGTGCTGCGGTGTAGACTGTCCTTGCTTGGCGAGGAAGTCCTCGGCAGCCTCCAAAGCCTTGTCCACAGAAGATTTGTTCTTCTCGACGTATCCAGGTTGCTGCTTCTCTGTCTCCCGCTTGGCCACACGTTTTTGCGCAAACTCGGAAACCTTTTCTTTGGCATGATATTTCTCCGCGGCGTCTAAAGCCTTATTGAAAATCGAGTCACTCTTCTTATTCTTGTCCGTCACGTCACCAGCGGCGTATTTCCCCTTGGCCATGTTAAGAAAGTCCATGCTATGCAAGTATGATTGGTGCTGCGTTACAAGTTAAAAGCAAGAGTGAATTCAGTATAATAGCATTGATAGTCATAAAATCATGTGGAGATAGCCGAAATGGGTTCTATAGCACCCATATGGTTAACGTAATCATAAGAACGACAAAGACTTCATTCTTGTAGTTAACAAGTCCTTTGATGTAAGACTAGGAAGATGATGACTACTTCAGTACGATCATAGAAATAATTATAAAAATTGGACGGTCGACATGCTTGCCACTAATGAGCACAGACTGACTACCAAGCGTGTAAGTCCGTCACCTCCTCGATGAAATTTCCATTGTATGCTCTGACATCGCCCTGGTTTTCGAGCCAGCGCAGGACTGATCATATGATTACTGCGGTGATCACACACAAGATGAGTATGGTGGTGCCGAAGCAGGCGCGCAGCGGCCATGAAAGGTATTAGACGAGGTACTCTTGTAGTTCGGCTGCACTGGAATGTTGTTGCTTTGATTATTACGCCGGCTCCAGTACTCCTCATAGCTCTCATATTTGACAAAGGGATCATGGTGGCTCACTGACGAACCATGTCCTGTATTTCCGTTCCAGGTTGATGTGCTCGCCACCGGCTGGTGACCTTGTTTTGCAAGAAAGTCTTCAGCTGCCTCTACAGCCTTATCAACAATGGATTTGTCTTTCTTTTTGCCGTTGCCACCTTGATGCTTCTCCCTCTTTGCCACTTGTTTCTGCGCAAACTCAACCGCCTTTTCCTTTATTTGATACTTTTCAATAGTACCGATGGCTTTGTTCAAGATTGAGTCGATGTCTTTCTTGCCGCCCCTCTTGTTCGGATCACCACCACCCGTGAACACCTCCTTTGCCTTGCTAAACAAGTCCATCGATGTTCTGGGATTTAAAGAAATACCAATACTGGCATATTCTTTGCTCGAAATATTAAGATTGAAAGGACATGGGGCATAGTATTCAATTAGAAAATATTAGACATGTGAAAATTAATTGGGAGAATAAAAAAAATGCCTCAACTTTTGCCATATATAAAAAAATCCCAATTTTTCAAAAAATAAAAAAAATACCCCAGCACGTAAATTATCATCGGGGAGTCGTAATATTACAAAACAGAAGAAATAAAGTATATAATTAAAACTAGAAGAAGATCAAGGACTTAGATGTACAGTAGCTTAGTCCGCCATTAATCT